GGGAGGGGAGGGGAAGGAAACGGGGGCGGGAGGGGAGGGGAAGGGAAGGAAACGGGGAGCAAAGAGGGATAAAGTGGAAAAAAGGGGGGGAAGGGGGGGAAAATGGGAGGAATTGGGGGGAAGCGGGGGGGCAACGGTGGGGAAGTTGGGGGAAATTGGGAAAGGGAAGTTGGGGGAAACCAAAATTGCCCCAAAATGGGCACAGGAACCCCAAAATGAGCACAAAGAACCCAAAACCGCCCCAAAATGGACACAGGGAACCCCAAACCATCCCAAAATGGACACAGGGAACCCCAAAACTCCCCCAAAATGGACACAGGGAACCCCAAAATAAGCACAAAGAACCCAAAACTGCCCCCAAATGGGCACAGGGAAGCCCAAAATGAGCACAAAGAACCCAAAACCGCGCCAAAATGGGCACAGGGAAGCCCAAAATGAGCACAAAGAACCCAAAACTGCCCCAAAACGGGCACAGGATTCCCAATACAGGTATAGGGAGTCCTGAAACCACCCCAAAATGGACACAAGGAACCCCAAAATGAGGACAAAGAACCCAAAACCACCCAAAATGGGCACAGGGAACCCCAAAACTGCCCTAAAATGGACACAGGGAACCCCAAAATGAACACAAGGAACCCAAAACTCCCCCAAAACGAGTACAGGATTCTCAATACAGACATAGGGAGTCCCAAAACTGCCCCAATACAGACACAGGAAGCCCAAAAACTGCCCCAAAATGGGCACAAAGAACCCCAAATGGGCCCATTATGGCACACAGGAACCACAAAACAGGCACAAGGAACCCCAAAATGGGCACAGAGAACCCCAAAGCCACCCCATAATGGGCACAAAGGACCAAAATTGCCTCAAAATGGGCACAAGGAACCCAAAACAGCCCCAAATGTACACAGGGAACCCCATAACAGACACAGGGAAGCCCAAAACCACCCCATAGTGGGCACAGGGAACCCCAAACCATCCCAAAATGGGCACAGGGAACCCCAAAACCACCCTGAAATGGGCACAGGGAACCCCAAAACGCACACAGGGAGCCCCAAAACTGCTCCAAAATTGACACAGAATATCAATACAGACATAGAGAGCCCCAAAACTGCCCCAAAACAGGAACAAGGAACCCCAAAATGGACACAGGAACCCCAAAACCACCCCAAGATGGGCACGGGGAACCCCAACATTGCCCCAAAATGGGAACAGGGACCCAAAACCACCCCAAAATGGACACAATGAACCCCCAAAACATAGGGAACCCCAAACCACACCAAAATGTGTGCTGAGAACCCTAAAACTGCCCCCAAACGTGCTAGAGGGAACCCCAAAACAGACACACAGACCCCAATCCCGACCCCAAAATTGCCCCCAGCTGAGTGCAGGAAATCCCAAACAAACACACAGGACCCCAAACCATCCCAAAGTATGCACAGAAACACCCTAAATCACCCCAAAATGTGCACAGCAAACCCCAAAACAAACACAGGGAACCCTAAACTGCCCCAAAATGTGCAGAGACCCCCCCCAAACCACACAAAGAGACCCCCAAAACAGACCCCAAACATTAAGAGGGAGCCCCAAAACAAAACCAAAACATACAAAAAGTCCTCAAAACAGCCCCAAAATATACAGGCAGACCCCCAAAATTACCCTACAACATACAAAGGGACCCCCCAGAACAACCCAAAACATTCACTGGGGTCTGGGGGGACTCTGGGGGTCCCCACATTGGGTCTTGTGGAGGGGGGGTCTCCATGTTGGGTCTGGGGGACCACAGGGCTCTCTAGGTTGCCCCACATTGGGTCTGGGGGTTCTATGGGGTCTCTGGGTGGCCTCACACTGGGTCTGGGGGCTGTAGGGTTTCTAGGTATCTCCACATAGGGTCTATGAATCTATGGGGCTGACCCCACGCTGGGTTTGGGATCTATAGGGGTCTCTGGATGCACCCATGTTGGGTCTGGGGGTCCATAAGGTCTCTGGGTTCCCCCACGTTGGGTCTGGGGTCTCTAGGGGTCTCTGGGTGCCCCCATGCTGGGTTTAGGGTCTCTAAGGATCTTCAGGTACCCCAACGTAAGGTCTGTGGGTCTATAGGGATCTCTGTGTGCCCCCATACTGGGTCTGGGGTCTCTAGGGATCTCTAGATATCCCCACATATGGTCTGTGAGTCTATAGGGATCTCTGGGTGCCCCCACACTGGGTCTGGGAATCTATAAGGGACTCCAGGTACCCCACGTAGGGGCTGTGGGCCTACAGGGGTCACTCAGTGCCTCCACGTTGGGTCTGGGGTCTCTAAACATCCCCACATAGGGTCTCTGGGTGCCCCTAAGTTGGGCCTGGGGGGGGGGACCTCTGGCTGTCCCCATTTTGGGTCTGGGGGTCCATAGGGGTCTCTAGGTATCCCCACGTAGGGTCTATAGGGGTCTCTGGGTGCTCTACAGGGCTCCCAGGTGCCCCTGCATTGGACATGGGGGTCCACAGGGGTCTCCAGGTGCCCCCACATTGGCTCTGGCTGCTCTATGGGGGTCCCCAGCTGCCCTAACGTTGGGTCTGGGGGTCGGTAGGGGTCTCTGGGTGCTTTATGGGGCTCCCAGGTGCCCCCACATTGGCTCTGGCTGCTCTATGGGGGTCCCCAGCTGCCCTAACGTTGGGTCTGGGGGTCAATTAGGGTCTCTGGGTGCTTTATGGGGCTCCCAGGTGCCCCTGCATTGGCTCTGGATGCTCTATGGGGGTCCCCAGGTGCCCTAACGTTGGGTCTGGGGGTCAATAGGGGTCTCTGGGTGCCCTATAGGGTCTCCATGTGCCCCCACATTGGGTCTCATGGGTCCCCAGGTGCCCTAACATTGGGTCTGGGGGTCTATAGGGGTCTCTGGGTGCTCTACGGGGCTCCCAGGTGCCCCAGAATTGGACGTGGGGGTCCACAGGGGTCTCCACGTGCCCCCACATTGGCTCTGGGTGCTCTATGGGGGTCCCCAACTGCCCTAACGTTGGGTCTGGGGGTCAGTAGGGGTCTCTGGGTGCCCTAAAGGGTCTCCATGTGCCCCCACATTGGGTCTCATGGGTCCCCAGGTGCCCTAACATTGGGTCTGGGGAGTCTGTAAGGTGCTCCATGGGGCTCCCAGGTACCCCTGCATTGGATCTGGGGGTGCATAGGGGCCCACATTGGCTCTGGTTGCCCTATAGGGGTCCCCAGGTGCTCCCACATTGGGTCTCAGGGGTCCCCAAGTACCCTAACATTGGGCCTAGGGGTCTATAGGGGTCTCTGGGTGCTTTATGGGGCTGCCAGGTAGCCCTGCATTGGATGTGGGGGTCCACAGGGGTCTTCATGTGCCCCCACATTGGCTCTGGGTGCTCTATGGGGGTCCCCAGCTGCCCTAACGTTGGGTCTGGGGGTCAATTAGGGTCTCTGGGTGCTTTAGGGGGCTCCCAGGTGCCCCTGCATTGGCTCTGGATGCTCTATGGGTGTCCCCAGGTGCCCTAACGTTGGGTCTGGGGGTCGACTGGGGTCTCTGGGTGCCCTAGGGTGTCTCCATGTACCCCCACATTGGGTTTCACGGGTCCCCAGGTGCCCTAACATTGGGTCTGGGGGTCTATAGGGGTCTCTGGGTGCTCTACGGGGCTCCCAGGTGCCCCAGAATTGGATGTAGGGGTCCACAGGGGTCTCCACGTGCCCCCACATTGGCTCTGGGTGCTCTATGGGGGTCCCCAACTGCCCTA